TCTAGCTCTCTTCTATTGGAAATTTTGATCATCCATACATCCTTGTGAGCTATGCCAAACCTCTCCCACTCAATCTCTTGCTTAATTGCGCATCCAAGTGAGTTGGGAGTGATCCAAAGTGCATTTGCTTGAGTGATTACATCTAGCGGCCTTTGTGTGCCTTAGAGATCATAACTAACTAGAATTGTGGATAGGTGGCTTGCTTTTTGTATTAGAGCTAGAGCAAAACCGTATTTCGCCGATTTAGTTGTCTAATCGGTTGCTTTAGTGTTTTGTAGAGAACTTTATTAGGCTATTCACCCAACTTCTAGCCATTTAGAACCTTTTAGTAGAGGATCATCCAATCATGCTCTAGCCACTATATGCACTTAGAGAAGATTAGATGGTTAGCAAAAGTGTTAGGATTAGTGCTTAGCTAATTAGAGGACAATTTAGCGCTTACTTTAGGTTTAAGCCTAGTGTTTAGTAAGGTTTGCATACCTCCTTGCTGTTGGAGCTTACGTGACCACGTGTTGTACTCCTCAAGGCTTGTAAATCTTGTGAGACCCTCGAACCATGTTTGTGGAGTGGTCGGTGTACGAGAGAACGTGAGGACCTCGACATTTTTGGACGAAGCCCACCTGGTGGAAGACGACAAGGCGCCATCCGGGACAGGCTTGGTTGGTAGAGACTCAATTGCAAATAGGGAAGGCCCGTGAGAAATCCATGGAGTTACTCGACCCGGAGCTTGGCCCTTGCAAGAGACTAGGACTAGTGGAAAGAGTGAGCTTTTTTATACCTCGTAAAAAATATCCTCGAACAAAAGTTTGCATTCTCTAACTCTTTATATTATGTAATTAGATTCTTGAATTTCTTGGTGTGTGATTCACCTCCCTAGTTTGGCTTGCTAGGTTAGTTGATAGGTTTGGAACCTGGGTGCAAAATTCTTTTACGTTAGAGATAGCAACACACTTATTAGAAAAACTTAGCGCACATATTAGAGGGCAAGATGCCTATTTAATGGGATGTGATAATCTCGGTGGAGATAAGCAACAATTAGAAAGAAGAGTCTTTTCTCTTGCTCGGGCGTGGGTTGCCCAAGCCAGCCTCCTCTCTCCCTCGCAACCACAACAACCGCCATAACATATGGTATCGCAGATGTCAGGTTCTGCTGCAGATTTGTCCTAACTTTTCCATCGCCTGCTTCATGTCGACGAAACTGCTTTTGCTGTTGTTGATCCTTCATCCAGCGTGGGCAATGCACCATCTTCAAGCACCAGCGCCATGTCAATAACCCTGCAGCTCAGCACTCTGCAGCAGCAGCTATGCTACGGGAAGACGTGGCCCTACGACTCCCAAAGACGAGAGTGTCTCCTGCGGCGATTGTCCCATCGATCAAGGATCTGTACGCCGACATGAGGGATACAATAGCCCAGATGCAAGCCAAGGTGGAGGAGTTGCTGCAGCTGCTACAGTTCGAGAAGACGACGGACATCACAACGGAGCCAGCGAAGAAGATGCATACCCGCCAGCCAGGTGTTGGCAGCAGTGTTGTTACAGGCTACAGCACGCGGATCTTGGTCTCGTACCCCTTCGCATCTCCTCCAAGTTGCGCATCGCCGCGTAGAGGACCTTGATCTTGTCCGCCACATCAGGGGTCTTGGGCATGACGTTTCCCTATGGGCGGTGGGCATGTTGTTTCCTCCATGGGCGGCGAACTCATAGTCTGCGACGTCGGCGGTTGGGGAGGCGCACCCCTCCCCGCCGTTCTACATAGGAAGCCATCCTCTCTTCTCTGTGCGGTGTGGACCAGCAGCTGTCCAGCGGGGAGAAGCCATTGGGTCACTGGCAGGAGCGCACCGCATTGCGTTGCCGCATTCCGTAACTGGCCACCGCGAGGGCGCCTCCGTTGCTCATTGTTGTGGCCACTTCCAGGTGGCCATACACGTGCATCCCCTTCGTCCCGATGGTGTCTATGGGATCCAGGTGGTTGTACGTGTGCAGTGGATGGTGTCCACCTTTAATTGAAGAGGTCACAAAAATAAAGCGTTCAAGTCTATTTTAGGTTGAGAATAATAAAATAAATCAAGATGTAAAAGGCTTGTTTTTAGGTGTTAAGTTTGTGTCAAGTCAAGTCTTTGTTATAAGCTGGTTACGTTGCAACTCGAGGACGAGCTGCTTGTCCAGGAGGGGTCTAGTGTTAGAGGCATGTGATGGCATAAGTGGGCAAGGGAAGACCGTTCGTGGCCTAAATTTAGGAGGATAAAACTAGGCATGCGGTTGAGCGCAGTGGAGGACTGGGCAAAGGCGATGTGCCTAAATTTATGAGGAGAAAACCAGGCATGCAGTGGAGCGCCATGGAGGAATGGGCAAAAGGGATGTGCGGTGGACGACTAGGCTAAGGGGGTGATCATGGGCAAGATGCCTATTTAATTAGGAGATAAGCAAAAATTAAAAGAAAGAGTCTTCTCTCTTGCTCGGCCGTGGGCAAGGCCCGTGGTCGGCCCCCTCTCTCCCTTGCAACCTCAGCAGCCGCCATAACAGCATATCTAGGTAGAACTTGTGTAGTTTTTTATAAGTGACTTTTAGCATTTAGCATTAGTTTTTAAGTAGCCTCTCCTCTTAGGCCTCACAGTCCCTTCTCACTCTCTATATATATAAACTCTCAAGAATTCTATGTATATACCACCTGCATTTTCCTTCACAGGTTATCACTGAACTAAATATGTCACATTATCGTAATTTAACATAAGTAAATTGTCTATTATCACTGCTCTAGAAAATACTAGACTTGTATTACTCTATTAGAAGAAAAAAAAAAGGAAAAAGTTCAAATTACTCTCCTCAAGTTTGACATATGTCCATATTACATCCTAAACTTATATTTGGTTCAATTTACTCCCTCCAACTATTTCAGTTGGTCTAGTTTACCCCTTAACATGATTTGCTATTTTTGTTTTTCCACGTATTAGTTGAGTCTTAATATCAACTTTTGTGATATGATAGAGAACATCATAAGTTATGTTAGAAAATATATCTTAACTTTTTGCCACTATTTTGATAGCTTAGGAAATTTAATAATAAATTAACACTAGAGATACAATATCGTATAAAACATAATGATGAAAAAATCATAGTGCATTTTTCTAACACAAAATACAATGTCCTCTATCACCTCACAAAATTTGAAACTAAAATATAATTTGTACATAGAGAAACAAAAAAGAAAAATCTCTTTAAGATGTTGGTTGGACCAATTTAAATAGTTGGAGGGAGTAAATTGAACTAAATGTTAGTTTGGAGGGTTATTTGGACGTAGGCGAAACTTCGAGGAAGTAATATGGATTTTTTTCAAAAAAAACGATGAAAAAAGGAGCTCGTTTTTCAGAGCAAGGTACTTTTATATGCCATTGGCATATGATCCTAGCTAGGTTCATGCATGCATGTTGCTTTGTGCAGAGCTAGCTTCTAGTACAACAGTGGTTTTCCCTCTTTTTACCGATGGTAAATACTGTGGCGCAGTTTTCGGAAGACCATGAATTAATTCTCCATCGCCTCTCTGCTTTTTTTTTTTTTTTTTGTATAGCTCGACTCGAATGTCCGGAATCTCCCGTACGTCCTACACATAACGGCCTATATAAGGGCCGGGCACCTCTACTTCCTCCCTTCATCACACCCATTCATACATATCAGTCATCACCACTAGAGCACTTGTGATAGAAACCCTGCATCTTTCTGCATGGTGTGCAGCATGCATTGACAACAATGCCATGGCACATTTATATGAAGCTTTGAGATCAGCCAGGATGTGGAAGGGCTCTAGATATTTCTATATAGAGAGAGATTCTCTATAGACAGTAAGCAAAGGTGATTTGTATAATGTATATGAAGGCTTGCATTGGGATGTGCCTGGCTCCCTGTATGCCACTCATCTAGATCAACAACTTGATTCCTAAGGTTGCCTATGATGGATGGCGTGCACGGTGCCAAGCATATCTCTCTATTCCGAGCTCATTTTCGACCCCTTTCTCTCACCCCTCTCGTTTATTTTTGAAGTTAGTTTACTTGTATTTATAGCCCATTTGTATGATTTTATATGTATGACTTCCTCTCTATGGCGTGTTTATTTGATCTGCTGGTGATGTACAATGGTTGTTTTCATGGCATTTAGGAAGGCTGTTTTCTGCACATTCAAACAAATGTTATCCATTAACCTTTATATGTAATAAGTACTAATTAGTTTCAATTCTCCATGACTGTTTTCTGATATCCATGATTTAAACGAAATTTCATTGGAAGATTTGCATGAATTCGATCAAATAAATGTCCACGTAATTCATTTTCCGTAGTAATTAATAGGGACTCTAATTGATTGTTTATTACTGCACCGTTAGATATTGTTTTAATGCATTTTTCATTTTTTTTATTTATATTGAAGCCTTTGCATTGAAAGCATAATAAGCGGGGTAAGGGTCGTCTACAAGACATTAAGTGCATGAAACTAATAGCATTTGATTTCAAAATATTGGCAATGTCATTATCACATTACTAGCGTGTTTATTACTCTACAATGCCAGTTATTGTTACTAACTTGTCACAAGGAACGGAAGGATTTCTGAAGGGGGAAGGGCAATAGAAGACTTGGTTCAAACAGTTTAGCAAGAGGCAAGATTCAGATAACCACAGTAACTACCACCAAGTATGCCACAAGTGTCCTGAAAGGGTGGAACATCAACAAATCATGACTGCCTTGATTTACAGAGTTTGTCCAAGTTATGGGAGAATGAATCCAAATAACTTCATACAACTGTTAAGGCTTGTATTCTGTATTTGAAACCCTGAGTGTTTCACTCTGCAGGCAGCAGGATACCAAATGAACAACTGGCAGCAGCATTTGAGGAGTTGATCTGCTGTTCAAAGAGCACATGGCTGGCGGTTTTCTATATCTTCAATGATTAACGTGTCATTGCAATGTAATTATTTCATCCATTTTGTCGGCAAGAAATAATGTGTTCATTCAATCAATCATAAATGTACAGCGCATAAACCGTGTCCGTGTACGCATTGAAGTCTGAATTCAGTGCAAATTTGTTCAGAATGAAGCTACCGATTTCTCTGAATGCCATCGATTACCACTCGACATGCATGAGATTCAGGCTTAACGACTGTAAAATGCAAGTTGCCAATTACGTCTCCATCACAGTACCGGCACGTGAAAAGGCACTGTACCGTGTCTTCTCTCTCTACCTGTCCAGGAAATAACTGAAGAAGATGGCTGGCCGCACGGCATGATTGAGCCGGTAGAACAGTTCCCCATATAGTAGTCACCCTGAAAAAAGACACCCACAGATGATTCAGGTAATGGTGCAGTCACCAAGGCCCGCCCGTCGGCCGGCTGCCATTTCTGACGGCCGAACAGTATATATAGCAGTAATTGTGTGTACCTCAGATGAGTGTGATGAGAGATCTCACATGCCCTGTGCAACCCGACCTCCGAATGCATGCATCCATTGCTGCAGCGGTCACTGCTCACACTGATGACTGACCACGCAGTGCGCACATACTGATCAGTGTATGATTGCATTCGTATCACATCACAACTCACAAGAGAAATGTGAAGCAATGCGACTAGCTTCGTATCTGAAACCCCGGGATAGATATGATTGCATTCATTCATTAACAGATGATCGAGAGGTATAAGAAGAGTATCTTACCATTCATATACAGTGCAGATCGATCACATATAGAGATGGTTGTGTACATAAACAAGCACCAGGACGAGGATTCAGCAGATAGACACAGCTTCTCCATATGTGAAGCAAACAATCATGCACCAGAATTATTAGAGGCCAAACCCTGGCGACGGCGACGGCGAGGCTGCCTCACCTGCAGCCTTGTCGCCCTCATCGAAGTGCCGACAAGGAGCTACACGTCATGATAACTGAGCTGGCAGCATCACCTCGGCCTTGGGGCCCAAGTCCAGGTTGCAGATGAAGCTCAAGGCTGCCGGCCAGCCAGCCAGCCATTGCTGCCCCTGAGGAAGGACAACCACCATGTTAGGACACCCAGACCAGCTGCAGTAATGGAATCCGTCAGGCTCCAGTGTGTAGACAACCTAGCAAATGCCACAGGAATGAGCACTATGCAGATGCAGGAGGCTGCTCAGTAGCTGCACCTGTGTCCATTTGCAAACTGCAGTGCTCTCCATTGCTTGTTCCTGCAGTGGACAAGAGGAGGGAGCACACTCAGATCTTGCAGCGCCCCATTATGCAGGAGATGTCCAGCCACAGATGGAGCCATGTACTAGCATCTAAACAGTAGTGACAAGAATCCAAGTAATTTCATGGTAAGCCACATTGCGAAGGTGATGTGAAATCAAGAAAGGAAAAGATTCTCAGTCACAAAACAGTGACACATTCTGAGAAATTGATAGACAGTCCACCACTTTTTACATACTTTGGCACACTAGTGATAAAGAAAATATATACAGATATCATGATCCATCGACGTGCCAGGAGTATGAATGGTGGGCTGTGAAGATATTCGCAGAGTTTTCTGTAGCTATGCTGAATCTCAAAAACAGAACCAATTGAAGCGAAAAACTGTGTACAAGGAACTATTTCACAGATCCCATCTGTAGTTTGAGTGTAAACAACATGTTGCTGGAAAGGAGAACTTCCATCGACAGCAAGGAACAAGGACATAGTTACACAACATTTTGGTTGATCTCATTTGTGATTTCCTGGAAGACCCGCAGACGGTTCTGTGCCCTCCATGACCCTGTACTTGCTTCATTATTATGCCAGTGATGAGTGGCCTCAAGGTGACGGGAACACTGAGTGTGTTCGTTATCATCAAACGGAACACAACCATGGCCATATCCTTCACCCTTTGATTTCCAGTCAGCAAAAAGAGCGCGCTGAGATGTGTTGCTTCTCCGTGGTACTTGCTTCATGCCTGAGGCTCTCTCATGGGGATGAACTATGTCAAGCCTTTGCCAAACTCGATGGTTGTGGTCCTGTACCTTATGCTTGCTCCATGTCGGAGCAGTCCTCACAAGATCCCGGTTCACGTTCTTATCCATGGAGATTTTGGAGTCATTCTGTCTCCATGAACCTGCTGAAGAACCATGCAGTTGACCACCCATGACGGGTCTTTGATGGGCCCTGCTTTCTTGACAAGACAATGGTGTTCTGTACTCCAGCTTACTTGCATGCTTACTGCTCCCGTTTTGTTTAGTAGTTCCCACACCAAGTGTTGACTTGCCATCACCCAATTGCTGTTCATCCTTCACCACCATGTCAGCCCATGGTTTGTCATCACCCAATTGTTGTTCCTCTTCATCCACCATGTCAGCCAATGTTTCTCTAACACCTTTGGTCAAGAGCTTCCCTTCTTGCATGGGAGTCTCACTAGCATCTAGGTTTCTTTCAGAGTTTGGCAAGCATTCAGTGGGAGTAGGAGTCTGAATCTGATCATGAATACTGGTTTTTTGTGCCTCTTTAACTAGCCTCTTTCGTAGTTTCTCAAGTATTGAATGTGTAGCAGCATCATTGAACAGTCGAGAAAGATCTTGAAACTCTGCAAATCCCTCATTCTTTTCTGCACCAGCAGTAACCATAGTGTGTGGTTCTTCACGTCTCAACTGAGTTATGGGAGATGGAAGCCCTGAATTGCAATTCTCATGCTTGTCTGCATTTTGTGAAACTGAAATATGTGGTTCTTTATATTTCAGTTCACTCAAAGGAGTTGATAGTGTTTGTGGCTGTAGATCTACAAGCATCTCCACATCATCGGCAACAAAAATCTGTGATTCTTTGGACTTCGCCTGAGTTATGGGAGAGGGGAGTTGTAGAATAACACCGCACACCCTAATCAGGGGGGTGGCCTTCATTATATAGCCTAATAGGCTAGGGTTACAATGTACACGGGCCAATGGGCCATACGCCCAATATGGGCTGTTATAATTACATTCTAACACCCTCCCTCAGTCTAAGCGGGAGTGTCACGAACACAAAGACTGGACCTAAAGTCAGTGAACAACTGTACAGGTAACCCTTTGGTCATAATGTCCGCGAACTGATGAGATGATGGAACATGGAGCACCCGAACCTGTCCCAAAGCAACCTTCTCACGAACGAAGTGAATATCTATCTCAATATGCTTCGTGCGACGATGATGAACTGGATTGGCGGTCATGTAGACAGCACTAACATTGTCGCAGTAGACGATCGTCGCCGAAGATATGGGTGCATGGAGCTCCTGAAGTAACTGACGAAGCCAACAAGTCTCAGCCACAGCGTGTGCAACAACACGATACTCAGCCTCCGCACTCGAACGAGAGACCGTAGTCTGTCGTTTAGAGGACCAAGAGACTAAATTGTCGCCGAGGAAGACACAGTACCCTGAAGTGGAGCGCCGAGAGTCGGGACAGCCAGCCCAATCAGCATCGGAGTAGGCAGTCAAGCTTGTGATGCTGCCTGTGCCGATGTGAAGCCCGGTGGACAGGGTGCCTTTGACATACCGCAGGACACGCTTGAGCATCGCAAGATGAGGCTCTCGCGGGTCGTGCATGAAGAGGCAAACCTGCTGAACTGCATAGGCAAGGTCCGGACGAGTCAGCGTGAGGTACTGTAGAGCACCGGCGAGGCTGCGGTACTGGGTGACATCCGCCATCGGAGCGCCGTCCATAGCTGAGAGCTTGGCCTGAGTGTCAACAGGAATCGTCGTAGAGTGACACTCAGCTATTCCGGCGCGCTAGAGCAGGTCCACAGCGTACTGGCGCTGAGACAGAAAGAGGCCATCAGCAGAACGCGTGACAGAGATCCCGAGGAAGTGATGAAGATCCCCGAGATCTGTCATGGCGAACTCGGAGTGAAGAAGCTCGGTGAGGCGTTGAAGAAGCGAGGTCGACGAGGCTGTCAGGACGATGTCGTCGACGTAAAGTAGCAAGTAGGCGATGTCAGATCCCACTCTGTAAACAAAGAGGGACGTATCGGAGGCCGAAGCTGTGAAGCCGGACCGCCGGATGAAGCCGGAGAACCGCTGGTGCCACGCCCTGGGCGCCTGCTTGAGGCCGTACAAGGACTTTTGCAGGAGGCAAACATGGTCGGGAGCTGCCGGGTCGACAAAGCCGGGCGGCTGCTGACAGTAGACCGTCTCGTTCAAATGGTCGTGGAGGAAGGCGTTCTTCACGTCCAGCTGATGGATCGGCCAGGAACGAGAGGCGGCGATGCTGAGGATGACCCGGATGGTGGCCGGTTTGACAACCGGACTGAACGTCTCGTCGTAGTCGATGCCGTACTGCTGCGAGAACCCACGAACGACCCATCTGGCTTTATGACGAGCCAGAGAGCCATCAGCATGATACTTGTGCTTGAAGACCCACTTGCCGGTGATGACGTTGGCTCGAGGCGGTCGAGGAACGAGACGCCAGGTGCCATTGTCCATGAGCGCCTTATATTCTTCAGCCATCGCCGCACGCCAATTCGCATCGGCGAGCGCGGCGCGAGAGTTGCCTGGCAACGGAGAAGCCAGACTGGAGGCCGCTGCGGTGAAGCCGTACCACTGCATGGGTGGCGGCAGGGAACCCGTCTGGGAACGAGTCACCAGCGGAGGCTCTGCGGTCTTTGGAGCTTCGGGCGCACCTTTTCTTTGCTGCAGCATGGCCAGAAGCAGCCGCCGGTGGCGGATGTGGAGCCGGCGAGGGAGGCTGTGGAGCCGGCGGCGGAGCTGAACGACGACTGTAGTGGATGCCGAACCGCTGCCGGGGGCGGGGCGGCGGGGCGGGGCGACAACACCTCTTTGGCGAAGGAGGTCTTTGAGCCGCGACTGCCGAGGAGCCGAGGCCGGTGGCGCCGGTGAGCAGCGCCATGCCACAGGATGGCAGGGTCGAGTCCGACGGGATCGCCGACATCGCTAGCGTCGTCTGAGCCAGATGAGGCAGGCGCCACCGAGGTCCGCGAGTGGCGAACGTCTGAGGTAGACGGGGCAGGCGCGGGAAGTAAGTCCTGTAACAAAAAATCAAGAGAATCCGGTCGAGGCTTGGAGGCCGCAAACGGAAAGTGAGTCTCATCAAAAACGATGTGTCGCGAGATGATGATCTTGCGAGTGGAGAGGTCAAGACACCGGTAACCCTTCTGTGATGGAGGGTAACCGAGGAAGACACATGCTTAGGGCGAGGAGACAATTTGTGGCGAGTCGTGGCACTAAGGTTGGGGTAGCATAGGCAGCCAAAAACCCCGAGGATGGAGTAGTCTGGCATCTTGTGGTGGAGGAGATGATATGGTATACCGTTAGTTTTGGACGAGGATGGCCGCCGGTTCGTGAGGAACACAGCGGTGGAGAGAGCTTCGATCCAATAGGATGGAGGCATGGCGGCATGAATCAGAAGCGTGCGAACACCATTGTTCAGAGTCCGGAGCATGCGCTCAGCCTTGCCATTCTGAGCGGATGTGTAGGGGCACGAGGTGCGAAGGAGAATGCCGTGGCCAGCCAAGAAGGTGGCGGTGGCATTGTTGAGGAACTCGGTGCCATTATCTCACTGAAAAAAAATGGACAAAAAAAACTGAATCGTGTGTGGCGTAAGCAACAAATTGAACAATGTGTTCATGAACTTCAGATTTATGACGAAGAGGGAACGCCCAGCAATAATGTGTATAATCATCAACTAACACAAGATAAAATTTATAACCAGAAATACTCGCAACTGGAGAGGTCCAAACATCACAATGAACAAGTTCAAAAGGTGCTGATGTACTAGAGACCGAACTAGCGAAAGGCAGCCTAGCATGTTTACCGAGCTGGCAAGCATGACAAATGCGGCGAGCTGTTTTATTACACTAGATAGCTGATAGCTTATTTAGAGTAGCGACGACAGCAGGAGCAGGATGACCAAGGCGGGAGTGCCACAGCTCCGGGGAGACGACTGCGACATGACAGCAAGGTGGCATGCGATGTGGAATGGTGTAGAGGTCCCCATGGCTATTGCACTGAAGGAGGACTGTCTTGGTCTTGAGATCCTTAACAGAAAAACCAGAGGCGTCAAACTCAATTGAACAATTATTGTCGTGAGTAAACTGTCGAACAGATAACAGGTTACGGGTGAGTTGCGGAGCGACAAGAACATTATCAAGATGAAAGGAACGATCAGCTATTTGTAAGGAAGATGTGCCACGACTAAAGACAGGAATAGATTGCCCGTTACCAACCGTAATGGAGGACGGTAGTGACGGGAGACGGGAAAGAAGTATACCGTCGTTGGAGGACATGTGGGATGTCGCTCCGCTGTCCATGACCCAGGGAGAAGACCCTTGAACCGCCATCTGATTGAGGGCGGCAATCAGGCTGGTCGCGTCCCAGGAGCCGTACCCGTACCCTGGCGACGCGGTGGAGTACTGGGCCGGCGCGAAGGCAGTGTGCGCCTGCGGAGGGGGCGGCGGCGGTGGAGGAGGCGCGGATGGCGCGCCCCACTGCTGCTGCTGAGGAGGCCACTGCTGGACGGCCCAAGGGTTATAGCAGACCCAAGGACCGACCGGCTGAGGAGCCTGACGTCCGCCTGGAGCGCCCTGGTGGGCGCCATGCTGCTGGTTACGCCCACCGCCTCCGTTGTTGCCGTTGCCGCCATGCCCTCCTTTGCCCTTGCCCCCCTTTCCCTTGCCACCACCCCCACGGTTGGATGGCGCGGGAGTGGGCCGGCAGGATGGCGAAGTGCAAGAGGAGGTGGAGGAGGCGACGAGTGCTGATGCCGAGGCCTCCTTGCCCTCGGAGCCGAGGCGAAGCTCCTTGACACGGAGCATGTTGGTGGCAACCTTGAAGTCTGGGAGCGGCGACGTGTTGGCGATGATGTCGGCGGTGGTGGCGAAGCGAGGATTGATGCCGCGCAGGAGGTTGAGCACAAGCTGCGCGGGAGAGATGGTGTGACCAACCTCCCGCAGGGCGTCAGCAGTATGCTTCATCTGCTGGGCGTAGGCATCGACCGAGAGATCACCCTGTAGCATGCTGTGGAACTCCTGCCCGAGGATGACAGCGCGAGGCTCCTTGTTCGCCTGGAACAGGGCCTCGATGGAGACGTCTGAGGCACGCAGCGTCGTCTTGATCGGGCTCCATGGCGAGGTCGAGGGCGGTGTCGTCGCGAGGCCGTACATCCAGACCACGGATGCAAGCGTCGGGCCGAGACCACGTGGGGTCGGTCACCGGCGCGCAGCCTCTGTGCCATCGATGTGGCCGAGCAGCCCGTGCTTGGCGTGAGGGGCGGTGAAGAACACCTTCCACTTGGAGTAATTAGGGCGCCGAGGTGAGGCGATCGGGACGTCTTTGCTTGACGTTGACGGCGGCATAGGCGGCGTAGAAGGCGGGGCGATGCCGTCCCCATGGCGCCGAAGGTTCCGGAGCCGAGAACACCGGAGGTAGCAGAGGAAGTCGTCGAGGACGTCATGATGAAGAAGTCGACGCTGCGCTGCTGTTCGCTAGAAGCGAGGCGTGGGAAGGCAGCAGCAGCTTGTCTTGACGTGACTTCGCGTCGGGCGGCGGCGGCGGGCGTTCGCAGTCGTCGCCGCTGAAGAAGGCAAGAAGCAATGGCGGCGCAGCTGAGCGACGCGATGAATCGCAAGGAGGCGGCAGCAGCAGCTGGAAGCGGACTAGCACGGCAGCGGGCCGGAGGGGCGCGAAGGCGAGACGGCGGCAGCCACAGTGGTCGCGATGGCGCGCGTGCCCTCGAGGAAGGGCACACGGGCAGCGGAAAAAGGAAGGTGGAAAACCCGGGATCAGGCCCCCAGAACTCGTGATACCATGTAGAATAACACCGCACACCCTAATCAGGGGGTGGCCTTCATTATATAGCCTAATAGGCTAGGGTTACAATGTACACGGGCCAATGGGCCATACGCCCAATATGGGCTGTTATAATTACATTCTAACAGGAGTGATTGCAAGTCAAGTTCCCTAAGCATTTCAGTAGCCCGGGAGAGAGACTTAACATGACTTTCATCATCACAGTTGTAAGGTATAGCTTGAATCAGGTATTTAGCTTCAGCCAACTTTCCAGTCTTCATCAAACAGATGGCCAAGTTACACTCTTTGTTGTAGTCAGCTTCTATAGCAAGAGCTTGCCTGTACCAAGTCAATAGTAGCCAGAGTTAGTTTGTTTCCCTTTTGAGATAAAGGGTAGGTGCACACAGCACACCACATGCAAGTATGCCATTCACACACTTAATATTACGGAGGGTTTATAGGTCCATCTGCAACATGCCATTTGAGAAAACTCGTGACATTTAGAAATGAGAGAAGGATGAACTCAAAATGTACCTGTAGAGCATCTCTGCTTCCTCATAATTTTCGGACTGCATATAGGCCCAAGCAAGGTTCCCCAATAACCTTGGCAAGAAACAAGGAACTTAGTTTGAATAGTGTTTAAAAGTCAAATCTCAAATGGGAATATAAAGATTTCCAGTACCTTGCTTTTTCATCTCTGAGAGAAAGGTAGACTACTCTTCCATGAGATTTAGACAGTTTTGTTTTCCACCGACCAGAAGCTAGCTCCTCATCAACAATTCGCAGCTTTATTGTCAGCATTTCGATCTGCTCATCTGTCCTACCACATTTCTGGTTTAACATGAAAATTATTAGTTTCAGAAGAAATGTATTAGTGGCATTTTCATCCAAAGATCATGTGATAACTAATTATTTTAAGATGACTCATCCGCAGTGGACAACGTGATAACTAATAAAATGTGTTCAATATGTATCTGCATAACCAAAGACAAACTCTTAGCTTATAAAAATGAACCCCTTTCTTTTAAAGGATAAACAATATACCTTGTATAGGTCTAGAAGAATATTGTCAAGGGACTCCTGAGCTTCATAGGGACACTGATCGCTAAAGGATCTTATTGCCTCAATGGCTTCTTCAGCCCGATTTGCTAGTTTCAGTACATTAGCCATATCCTTCAATGCGCTCTCTGTCCGGTCACCACTGTTTATAGCTGCCCAAAACAATGGAACAGCCTTGTTTGGGTCCTTTTCAACTATCCAGAATAACAGAAACAACATAAGGAAACATAAAAATCTTCAAATTCAGCTTATGGTTCTTCCTATGTTAAGGATGGCAAATGCAATTTTTTAAATGAGCATCCACAATTAAAAAAAACAGCTGATGCCATGACACATAAAAATCTTGACTTAATAGTGTCAATCCAATCTCTTGGTTTGGTACAACAGGTTTCTGGTAATAAGATGCATAATCAGAAGGTACAGTATTTTGGCTTCAATTCCTCGCTTTCTGGTAATAATATGTCCAATGATCTCCTCATGCCTGCAGCTTGATTTTATCCAGCTCCTTCATTTAGTCAATTGCATTGCCCAGGATCGATGTCCTGTCCATCTATTGGACACAACGAGTGGATCCATGTCCTGTCCATCTATTCGGCACAACGAGTAAGCAACAAGGTACATTTCATCAATTGAAAGACATTTCTTGGTAGAGACCAAAAAGACCAAAAAAAAAAGGAGAGTTTTTCCTTACTTCACTGATCTTGGGCAGTCGTTGGATAGGTCGTCATTGAAGTCTTCTGGTGGTGGCAGCCATCAGGTTCTGCTCTCTAGCCTCCCCTCTTGGACTCCGTAGTCTGCAGCGAGGTGCCGCTGCCAAGCACTGCTCATGGCAGGGACGCCGCGATGAGCGACCTCATGGGGCACCTAGGAGGCGAAGATGGCGAGAACGAAGAGGCCGCAGTAGGTGATGCGCGCGAAGCCGTGGCCGATGCTGTTGACATCCTTTGGGAGCCGGCTGCCTTCACTCGCCCACTCGGTCCAGCGTCGTCTTCACTTGGCAGTCATCGTGGAGGAGGTCACGCCATGACCCATTCCTACGCAGGGCCGCCGCCGCATCCAACTACGCAGGACCTATTTTGCTGCCGACGAGCCCCACGCCCGCGACTACGACGACGAGATCGGCGGTAACAACGCCCCCTCGCATCGCCGCCGCCTCCAACAGAGAGACCGCCCAGACCACCACCAAAGGCCCGATTCGCCCTCGTCCCTGCCGGATCGGGGCACCGCCGTCAGTGGAGGCGAAGAGGAAGGGTGGAGCGACCGGCGTCGTGGGGAATCGAGCGGGTGGGGTGGGCGGCGGGGAGTCGCGCGGACGGGGAGAGGCGGAGTGGCGATGAAGCGGGGGTGTGCGAGGGGGAGGGGAGTGATTGGAGCCGATCCAAATCGAGCGAGCGGGAGCGGACGCACCTCGCAGCCGAGGGAGGAGCCGAGGAGTCGCCTGAGGTAGCAGATGACGTCTTGGCGGCGGCGCTCCGCCTCCTGGGTGGTGTGGACGCGCAGCACCACCTCGCCGGCGACCGGCTCCGCGGCGCCCTCCGCTGAAGGGAGCAGGGCCACGGATCGCACGAGGAAGGGAGCAGTCGCCGCGATGAACCTGGTGCCGCGCGGCGTTGTTTCCTTCTGGGAGATCCGCGATCAACGCCGCGGGGATGAGGGCGCACCTGGCGATCCCACCTTCCTTCTCTTCGCTCTTTTTTGCGCGGCGTACGACGAACCCGCGGGATCGCAAGGGAGGGAAAGACAACCATGTCGCACCAAATATCAGCTTTGGTCTTTTTAATTGTATGAGATAGGAGATAATCGATGGATTCGGTGATACGCTGACGCGGTAGGTCTACAGGAGTTGCCGGTGGGCCAGATGGCAATAAGTTGCATCTATGTATGAACTGCTTTGATTAGTGCGATGCTGACAGCAGTGCGCAACCTTAGGCCTACAGCCTTCTCATCGGGGAAAAAAAGAGAAACTTAGCTCTACAATGACATATATGTGACTACGTGCTAATTTGAATAAATCCGCAAAACTTAATATTTATTCAACTCTTCTTATTTCAACAACTATCTCAGGGTCTCTTGTAGGCTAGCGGACGCATTACAAGGATATTAAATATGATTGATGCCACCAGAGTAGAAATTAGGATAGCAAAGATGGTCATGGTGAGCTCATCTTCATCTAAGCATATCTTGAGAGTGTCAGCTCCTTGCTTCTGACAATGTACTCCGGCTCCTGCTTGATGTTTTATTCGATAGTCTGCAGCTTGCAGCACTTATCTCAGGCTTTTTCTTAAAATGTTGAAATAGGTTGGCATTTGAATAGGGGGCTTATGCGGGGTGATTAGTGTTAAGTGTGGAGTGTCTTGTTGTGAAGGGGGAGCCGGGGGCGTTTTATAGGCGATTGACGACGAGTTTAGAAGGTGGGTGCGCGCCATTATCGGCGGCACTGAGCAGTATCGGGGGCTGAGGGAATCAAGTTCGTGGGGGACACCAGCGGCAGCATCGGGCCAATGGAGGTGACATCACGAGCGGTGTCGTGGGGCGATGGTGCGACATGCCGTGGGTGGCGGTGCAGAAGAGAGCGGCGTGACGCTGAGAGGACGACACCAGTGTGCGGGAAAAGGAGCGCGGGTGAGTGGCCACTGGTTGTGCGCGCGGCTTTAATTTGCATGCGGTCTGCTGTGCGCTTTGCTGGTTGCATGGGTGTGGAGTAAATGTAGCTAACTTGGGCGCACCCATGCAACCAGGAAGTGGAGGCGGCGTGGAAGGGAAACACTGGCGGGTCATGAGGTGAGGAGAGCGTCAGCCATGGTGCGCTCCCTGCGCGAGCTTGAGTGGAGGAAGGAAAAAGGAGGAGAGAGAGGTTCGCTCGACGAGGAGGCGTGCGAGCGGCCGTGCCCCAAAAGAAGAAAAAGGAGGGGTCCGATACGAGGGCGAGGGCGAGAGTCGAGAGCCGAGAGGGTGCGGAAAAAGGAGAGAAAATGAATTATGCGAGTGAACAAGGCGAGTGTGGCATAGCCAAACGAGAGCTGAACGCAAGTGAGTCCTGGTATCGACAGCGTCCGCAGGTGTCGATGCGTGTGTAGCGCGGTCAAACCGGACACTAGAATTGGGACATGGCGCCAATTTAAGCGTTTCAATCACTCCAGACTACTCGAATACTAACTTTTCCTTGTTGCTCTTCTCTCTCTTCAGAAACCGTATTAACTCAGTTACTTTGAAAAAGCACTACTTCATCAACCTGTTATGGATTTTTTCGTTAGAACACAAGGATATTTTTCCAAAGGAGAATATTTTGTTGCGAAAGCGATACGGTGGTATAACTTGGCAAAGGTGCTTCGTTAATCACCTCGATACCAGCGCGTGCTGAGCAGTGTCGCCATGTGGCAGCTGTTCCACAGGGGCCCTCGGTTTAGTCGCGGCACCATAAGCATTTAACCAGGCAACCTTACCAACTTACACGCAATGAAAACAGTGGGGTCACTGACCACGGAACCAGGGGAGGATTGCAAGGGAAGATTAGACAACAAGGGTTCCTTTCACGGCAAGGAAATCAAATCCCATAACAGATTTAATTTTTAAGGAAATTCAAGTGTTCTGCTGGGACATCCACAATTAGTTGATACAGTGTTCTCTGTCATCCAATCATAGCTGGTCTGCTTGCATCTGAATGGTTGCTTTTCTTGTAACCCGCTTGATTTCTGCCTTGAGAACCCTAAGTAAGTCTAACGAGGTCTAAGGGTAAATCGACATAACAAACACAACGGATAAAGCAAAATGCATGTCCCAAACTCCCTTATATGGGTACAACATATAGGCACTCACTCTCCTATTCTCGACACATCGTTTGCCTCCTACAACCCGACGATTCTTAACATCTACGGATGAAATACAACGGAAAGATTACAATACTAGAGGACGGCGATGAAAAGCACTACTAACTACGGGTACATGTCCCCTAGGACAACTCATCTACTTTGTGGGACCAAACGGCTTCATTCCCGAGCTCGGTTGGTTCTTCTTCTACACTGGCTAAGGATCTGCCTCCTCTCGTGGTGGTGGCTGAGTGAGGGGAAACAAGGACTCTACTTCTGGTACCTCCGAGGGTGGAGGTGCTGGTGGTACTACAACACCGGTTCTCCTTTCCGGCGGGTGGACAGGGATTCCCTCCAAGACCAAGGGTTCCTGCCTTTTCGTGGCAAGCGTCCTACGCTTGGCCCTTGTGACCAGATAAGCATCCTCTAGCTGCTGGGTGTGCTGATCTTCGGCCTCCTTTAGGGCTTCCGCCATGGTCGTCTCATGACTTTCTGTGGCTGCCACATTAGTGTGCGCCTCAGCGAGTTGCACTTCGAGCATCCTAGAGAAGTTCTCAGCTTCCTCGGCTTAGCGGAGGCACTTCCTCAGCTTCGAGGCCTACCGGTCATACTGCTCATCCAGAGCAATCAAATACGTGGTCAGATGTACCATAGTTGAGTTGTCTTCTTGCGCGTCCTGCCCTTGCAAAGCCTCCATGTGAGCCCTCCATACCCGTCGATTCTTTTTTTAAAGGTGGAAAGAACTTCATGGGGGTATGAGCAATGGGCTCTTCATAGATCTGGCAAAGATACCGCAAGGCTTTGCGTGCCACAACTTGGTAGGTGTCGACGAAGCAAAACCCGGTTGCGGTCACATTCCAGGCTTTAGTGATATCGGGGAACTCCTCACTCTTCCCAATATAGACGGTGACCTCACATCGCTCAGTGCCATGTTTCTCATACTCACGACCCTCATACTCGGAGCGATCCTTGACTTCAAGTTTTGCAAGGTGGCATACAGGATTTTGGGAAAACCCTCAGTGTTCAGGCAATAGCTGCTAACCCAGGCTCCTGCCATCCTTGGTGGATGGTGGTTACAAGGAAGGATCGAGCGAGAAGCTTGCTCGGGAGAAAGGCTAGGTGAGCTGAGACGCACCGAGTGGTGGTACCAAGTGGCTAGGCTGGGCCTTTTGTAATGGCAGAGCGGTCATTGGTCCTGGCGCAGTCCACCATTGAGTCTGGCGTGGAGACCAATAAAAGGAAAGCGGTAGGATTTTCACGTGCACGAGATGAGCAGTGTCCGAGGCCATAAAGGACTAGTACGGCTGTAGGGTAGAGGTTCGACAAGAGCGCAGAAAGGGAGCATGGAAAACGTGAGCCACGGCAGGCGTGAACCACAGGCAAACGCAAAACACAAAGCCACTCTACAGTAGTAACTTATGAACAAGGACTGGGCAGTCAACACACTTTGCGGCACGCGTGGCACCTACGAATAGGCGCACCAGCGAGCAATACTGGCACGACGACTAAGGCAGTACCAGCGTGTCTGACTTAAGGATTGTATACTACGCAAGAGTTATTCCACCGAAAAAAACCTAGTTAAATCTATTCCGAATACTTAACCATAGCAATAGGGCTACTTATATACTTCATATGCAAACGCTCTAACTTTCTACAAAAATATGTTATCACACTTTAATTTAGAAAAGGGTTTTGAAGTTTTATCTCCTCATTTATGCTCTGATACCACCTGTGGCAGAACCGCCTAATCTAATGCCCTTCCAAGAGTACATGTCCTCCATTAGACACTAAGTACCCAAGAGAGTGCACTAAATCACATCGTTCCGTCGAACCCACCCAAAGGGAGAACTTGAGAATCCACATTTTTCGTCAGGATCATAAATGAGAGGATAAAGCTTACAACATTCTTAGTCATTTTTTACATCACTTTATTACAACATCAGAGTACTTAAACAAGTTGAATGCAATGGCGGATTCAAAAACAGTTGACATGTAAACGAGTTTATGCATTTTAGGTTCACAAGTTTTATCTTGCAGCGGAAAATAAATATATGATCAGAGTTACAAGGGAAACAAAGATTAATTTAATGACATGGTAAAGCATTAACATAGTGGTGATTTATATACAAGATATGCTAGCGGATTTTACATCTTTTCTTATAGAACCTTTAGTGAGGGTTATAAATAAACACTACAATCGCAGCGTGAAAGGAATCCTCTCTAAGCCCACCAGGAGGTTTCCATACACAAGAGTCAGCTCTAGCATCCACCTGTCACTTGCAACAGGGGGAATAAAACCCTGAGTACTCGATTGTACTCAGCAAAACTTACTCGATAGGAGAAAAATAAAAGACTCTAAGGATATACAAGGCTTATTTATCTTGCTGGTTTATTACATTTACAGGTTCCATTACTAATAGTGCATCCTTATGTTCCAAGTTTTTAGTCAGTTATTTTTAGTTGATTAGCTAACCATTCTAGGTAAGCACATATGCTACTTTCAAGCATGTGGTAAGCAATTAGAACCATTTTACCATCTTTTATATTCCAGTTCTTACTACGGTGCTAGACCATAGCCAAGTCGTTACCGTCTCATAGAAAGGGCAATTCACGAATCAATGTATCCTAGTTGGGTGTCACACCCAATTTTAAGGATAAAATTGAATGCACTAAACTCATGTGTGCCCAGGGATCAGTCACACACATAAGTTGACAAATTATAAAAAGTATCATCAC